GCTGGCTAAGCGCATCGCCAGGTACCTGAGTGGCACCCGATCGCGCAAGATGGATATGCCTGTCGACGGCAATGCTAAAAGGCTACGACTACGACTGCGCTCGTATACGGACGCCAACTTTGCAGCCGACAAGAACGACCGCAAGTCTGTGAGTGCGGCAATCATCCAAGTAACGGAATGACTGTGTCATGGCAGTGCAAGAAGCAGAGTTCCGTGGCACTATCGACGACCGAGGCGGAGTACGTCGCTGCGACAGTGGGTGATGAGAAGCTTCTCGGGCTGAAGAAGCTACTGGGTGATCTGGATATCGCCACCAAGTTGCCTATGGCCATGCTGATGGACAACCAAGCGGCTATCGTGCAAGTGCAGAGCGAAACAAGCTCGACCAAGGAGAAACACGTGGACGTCAAGCTCAAGTTCATCCAAGACTGCGCCAAGAAGGGCGTCGTGGTGCCGGAGCATGTGGCTAGCGCGGAAATGCTTGCCGCCCTGCCGACGAAGGCGCTACCAGCGCCACGGGTGAAGGAGCTACGGGAGATGATCAGACTCGTCGACATCGAGTGATTCAGGAACCCCGAGGCTCTGAAAAGGAGTGTTGGACATTGATTTAAGAGCCAGCCAAGGGGCGGGCGACCGGAAGCCAGACCCCCAAGGACCTTTACGCAAGTGTCGAGTCGACAATGTTGAAAATACGACATTTTGACTTGGTTTCACTATTGGGACCAATCAGATCGAGTGTAGGCGCGTGTCTTTTCAGGTTATTGTGTAGTGTGCATGGAGAATCCAACTAAAAACTTCTTTGAATATATTTCTCACTTTCACTTCTACCTTCTGCCGAGCAAGTGCTAAACCAACAAAAGGCTACAGCTATCATGACAACGTATTGGCTTCGACGGCTACGGCACCTCAGGTACTGATGTAATGACTTAAATTACATTTTCACATATATATTTGCGGTGGACGGTCAGAATACCGCAGCAGCTGGTATTTGGCCCACACTGTGGTGATGATAATTTAAACGTTGCTTTTGTAGTACTGGTAGTAATTGAAGTTGAATATATCGTATTTAACTTTCTAGGGACAAGAAAAAAAACATTGTATTGATGTAAAGTTACTTTTAAGCCGCCAAGACACTAGGTCAAATCGACAAACGGGTGCCCGTGCAAGGGCGCGTAAATCCTTCCTCCTTGGACTTATACATGTAGTCTTCTTGTTGCCTCCTTTTGTTTTTTTTTTCTGGGAGGGAATTGTGAATAAATGGCTTATTTAAAAAAAATTATAGAGTTAAAATACCGGTACTAGTACGTGTTTGAAAATTTGAAATTGTATGTGACACGCCTTCATATCCGCCAGGAATTCACTTCTCCTTTCAAAAAAAATTCTCTTCTCCTTCTTGAAGAAGGAGAAGAGAATCCTGGCGTAGAAGCTCTTCTTCATTCCACAATCCGCCGACTCAAGTAAAGATGGTGAAGCTCTTTTGTGCCATTGTTGGTGTGGCGGGAAGCGAGTTCTCGGTGGAAGTTGGCGAAGGCAAAACCGTTGATTACTTGATCACAGCGAAGAATCCGTATAAAATCCGATGTGATGCCTACAAGCTGCAGCTCTTCCTGGCGAAGACGGCGGAACCGCGCGTGGCTAACACAACTTGACGCGCTGGAAGGCGTGGAGGGACACTTTTGGCTGCACACAGCTACAGTTCGTCGACGCGAAGCTTCGGAGGCCGTTGGGCTGGC